GCGTGGTTGAAATCGCCGGCCACGATGGTGAAGGCATCAGGATGTGCTGTTTGTCGTTCACTGATGGCCTGGTACAGTTCATTCAGTGTTGTGGCCCTGTCCCTGTTGTTGTTGGTTGGAGGGATGTAAACAGCGACTAGTAGAATCGTTGTGAACTCCCTCGGCAGGTAGAAAGGACGGCACTTTATGATCATAAACTCCGCCAGTGGTGAGCAGTGTCTGCATATTACTGTAGCGTCCCGACACCACTCATCACGGATGTAAACACAGACACCGCCGCCTCTGGTCTTTCCTAACAAAGGATGGCATTTCAATGCGTTATTGCCGCGTTAATCCATTAAGGCGACAATTATTTTATTTTATTTTTTATTATTTATTTTATTATTGTAAACATTTGTTGTTCGCCGGCTTTTATTTTGAAAAACTTTCTTACTTTACTGCAGCGGCACACAGCGGGAGGGGGTTCGCGAAACCCCACCCCCAAATGGTAATTGTCCAATCATACACCCTAGCAACAGGTAGCTACTGTGTAAAGACAATTGTACAAGCTAAACCTGACAAGCATAACGGCGAACAAACATGTCTGCCCGGTGAGCAGCTAGAAGTAGCTTTAGCTATTTACTTTTGTTTGTTTGTTTGTTTATAGTACGTTATTCGTCACCAAAAGGAAATTATTCTGTGAAGGGCCGCTGTCAGGGCCGTTAACTCATCCATTTCTGGTAGGAAGGACGTGAGGACAGGTCTGTGGTGTCTGTTCTTGTCACGGCGCCACTGACAGATTAAGCTACCCGTCTTCTCCTCCCGGGGCACCCGTGTAAACACCCGTATTAGCTGTTAGCACTGCGTAACGCTAACACCGGCATTAGCCGTTAGCACTGGGAAGCGCTAACACTGGCATTACCGGTGTAAACAGCCGCATTAGCTGTTAGCGCTGCGTAACGTTAACACCGGCATAATCTGTTAGCACTGCTTAGCGCTAACACCCGCATTAGCTGTTAGCACTGCGTAGCGCTAACACCGGCAATACCGGTGAAACACCGGCATTAGCTGTTAGCACTGCGTAGCGCTAACACCCGCATTAGCTGTTAGCACTGCATAACGCTAACACCGGTATTAGCCGTTAGTATTAGCCGTTAGCACTGCGAAGCGCTAACACCGGCATTATCGGTGTAAACACTGGCATTAGCTGTTAGCACTGCGTAGCGCTAACACGGGCATTAGCCGTTAGCACCGCGTAGGGCTAACACCGGCATTAGCTGTTAGCTCTTAGCACTGCGCAGCGCGAACAACCGACTTGTGTAGTAGTTCTATGTAATACAAAATACACGCACATACACTACCGTTCAAAAGTTTGGGGTCACCCAGACAATTTTGTGTTTTCCATGAAAAGTCACACTTTTATTTACCACCATGAGCTGTAAAATGAATAGAAAATATAGTAAAGACATTGACAAGGTTAGAAATAATGATTTGTATTTGAAATAATAATTTTTTCCTTCAAACTTTGCTTTCGTCAAAGAATCCTCCATTTGCAGCAATTACAGCAGTGCAGACCTTTGGCATTCTAGCTGTTAATTTGTTGAGGTAATCTGGAGAAATTTCACCCCACGCTTCTAGAAGCCCCTCCCACAAGTTGGATTGGCTGGATGGACACTTCTTGCGTACCATACGGTCAAGCTGCTCCCACAACAGCTCAATGGGGTTTAGATCTGGTGACTGCGCTGGCCACTCCATTACAGATAGAATACCAGTTGCCTGCTTCTTCTC